TAATAATGATGATTATAATAATGATAATATAATTATAATAATGTGAAATCTTGTATGAAGTTCTTTAAAAATACATATAGATAATACAGACGGAAATGCTTATCTCATGTGTGATTTCAAAACCAAAAAAAAACGTCAGGAAAATTTTGTTTAGTTCAAAATCTCGAACATATTTTTATTATTTTTTTCTATTTTATTTATAAGCATGTAAGAATGGTATAATAAAATTGTCTTGTGTTATAGATCTCTCTTAAACAAGTGAACAGTTTATTGCAAAGGCCTGGCGACCTGCTTGATTGTATCCCAGCATTGGAACTCAAATTGAGCATTATTCTACAACAAAGTCCTCATAATTGATTTTATTTCTTAGCAATTAGATTATATAGTTTCAAACAGAATATCATATTTAGCTTTTGTTTTCATTTCTTGTACGAAATACAATGGCATTAGCCTATACTATGAATAAATTTATTGAATCAGTTTTGGTAAATAATTGTTGCAAATAAATAAACCGGCAGATGTTGTGGAAGAAAAAGTTCACATTATTTATCACATATGTTACTACTAACTTTATTTTTGAAAAAAAAACAATTTTTTAGTTTAATGACTTTATATTCCTTTTTTGTATGAAAAAAAATATCAAGTTAACCAAGTAACTTATCAATCAATTGAAAAATTCTAATTTACTGTATATTACCCAGAACCCAAGAAGAAAGAAGAAAATTTGAAAATCAGAATATTTGTGACAAAACTCTTTGTCTAAACTTATATCAAGTGGTACAAAAATCTTGAAAACATATCTCCAGTCCCTCTAAGAAGTAGTGGATATAAAACTTCAGTAATAAAACCAAAAGATGGGAAATGACATCTTACGGATATGTTTTCTCAGCAAAAACAATATTTCCCTAGATTTATAACCGAAAAACTACATAATTTCCTGAATAATAGTGATTAATCTTGACCTATCTACATCTTTAGCATTATATGGTTGTGTTAGATACCTAACTACATGTACTATGGTTCGATTATTGTTTGATTTATTTACGTAAAAGATTCCTATTCCATTGTGTTAAAATGTTTTTTACATTTTAATGTGCAATGTAAATACTGAGTATCAGAGAAAATCTGACAACTAAGTTCTCGTGATAGTTACATTGTACACTTTGACACGGGAAGAAAATTTGAATTCTCAAATCATTAACCAAAAATAGAGAAAAAAAGAATTCCAAAAAAACGGCCAGAACGACCAAATTTAATGTTGCAGGCTCGGTTTGATTGAAACTGTCCATGGACGATACTGGTAATGAAAGCTACTGTTCACAACCCCTAGCACCGGCTTAAGCAGAATTCAACATTTAAACATGAAAATGGTACAAGTGTGAATTTAGAATTTTGAGACTAAGCATAAAACGGGCTAACGTTAAGGGTGTTTAACTTAAAGCATTTAATAGACGTTTATATCATAAAGGTTATGCAAATAAACAATGCGTAGTTCTCATGATACATTATAATACCATATGAAACACAGGGCAAACACACAGCAGGAAAATAGATTTAGTATTAAATTGACAAAATAGTGTACAATTACGAATTAAGAGTCTAATGAAATGACCATGCGGGTTTTGAGATGTTTGCTGATTTTCAGCAAAAGATCAAGGTATCTTAGTTTTATGAATAAACGTCATATAAATCATTTAACATTTTAACAGGATTTTATATATACTTACTTGCAAATGAAAGTGTACAGTTGGTTATAGGGGAAATTTTAGCAAAATATTGACATATTTGTATCAAAATTGTCAGAAATCATAAATTTCTTAATATATGTTTAGTGCTTTAAAATATGTCTTTTGACGTCTTGTCTGTGATATGCAAGCCTCATAGCCATTCATTCCCCTTCCAATATTCCATTTTATTTAGTTTCGCCCATTGAATTCTCGTTTAGGGCACCTGCAATCTTTTACTTGGGGACCATACGCGGCTTAACATGGAATGGCACTACGTTGAACGTTCCATAAAACCGCCGTATGAACACATCTGCGGAAGTTTCTAAATTCAACATTTTACCATTTTCGTGTTAAAATGTTAAATTCTTCTTAATTTTAAGCATAGAGTTAAGTGACGCTAAATGTTACTGTTTAAATATGAGGGTCACTGACACATTGGATGTTCTTGTTTTGGGAATGTTATAAATAGAATGATATATCGTATGGTTTCTTTGCCAAAATGACTAGGCTCTTTAAGAATAAACAGAATTATTCAACTCGTTCGATATATTCATTACTCGTTTAGTATCCTCTGTATATTGAACATCGAGATGTTAAGAGTTGTTTTATAAACATACGATCATATCTTCTGTTTAAGTGTTTATTCTTATATAACGTAAATTTGTATTCAGTGCTAAATTCTCATTAACCTTTATTTCCATCCACTGAATAAACAAGCTGACGAAAGGTCATGTCTTACAAACTTGAATTAATCATACGATTGTGAAGGCTCTTTTGATATCAATAATGTTCAAATTAATGCCACTTTTTTCTCTTCTAATGAAAAAGATTGAGAAAAACAATCTTTAATTTCATCTATTTTTCAATGTACATTTGCTGTCAAATTGTTGGGTTGAAGTTCTCAATTGGAACACAAATTTGCTTCCACTATGTATACATATCTTTGAGACAGATAAATAAAGTATGTACAAGGTAGGAAAATGTCGGATATAAATTAAATTGTCTGGGAATATCTACAGTACAATATTGTACACGATTGTGACTTGATTATCTCAATCAATTTATGTATTGCGTCTAAGGTTCGGGGAAATAAATGTTTCCTTATACAAGCAATCTAGAAGCACGATCATAGCAAATGCACTTAATATATTGAATACTATCAAATGCTGGCTGCAGAATTGTTGAGCTTTGTGAACAAATATTTTAACCATTTACTTTGATTAACCGTGAAATTAAAGGAAATAAATTAAAAGAGAGAAAAATAGAATCCCAAAAGAAGGCCCATCACGGCAAAATTGAAAATGTCACAGGCTCGGTTTGATTGAGCCTGTTCATGGACGGTACTGGAAAGTGCAAGTTACCGTCCACGCCCCTAGCGCCGGTTAAAACAGAATTCAACATTTAAAGACGAAAATGGTCAAATGGTGAAGTGAGTCTGCTTTATGTGTTGAATTTAAGTCAACGATACTGTATAGATTATAGCGGCTTTCCTGCTTTAATAGTGGTGGAAAACATCAGGTGCCCATCCATGCATTATTGCAGGTACGTCCGGACACCTGAGAAGAACCATATACTTTTAATACGCTATCTGGATAGCTTCCCCACACTGATTGGTCCAACGTTCCTGGCTTGATTCAAACCCACAGCGGTGAGGATAATAATACACTGTTGGGAATAAATGAAAACAACTATGTGTACTTTTTGCATAGCGTTGATAACATATCACTTTTTACATTTTAACATTGCTTGCATACATGCTTTAATTCCTTAAAATCTTAAATTTTTGTTTTATAAGGTTACAATTTAGTCAAACATTTAAAACATTGATAAAAGTATAGTACCACAGAAACTTTGCTTTTGTCATGAAGTAAGTGTTTAATACTTTGTAATATGAATTGAAGCTATGTTTTAATATTTCATTAATGAAAATCATGTCAGAGCTAAAAAAAAAATAGTAATTAGTTACCTAGTCTGGTAAATATTTATATATTATTATGTTGTACATGTACAAGGTATCACAAACGCATATCAAACTTGACATGCCTTTTTATAAACATCTTTCCAAGATGCACTAAAATTGTTGTGTTTCGCTATTAACACGTTTCTATACTTACTAATTGTGCCTACTGTAAGAAAATTAAATTACATTTGCATAAGTTTCTTATCACTAAACACTTGTATTATTGTCCATTACATAGACCAACCTTCCGTCTTATATTTTGGCATTCTGAATTGAATAAAATAAAAATAGCTACAATTTACTTACTAAATATAATACATGTATGATATTATAAAGTTCAACAAATTTTTATTTCTAAATAATAATGGTGTTATGAACGATATATTCGTGCTATTTGATATGTTTAGTTTGCACTATAGACCAGACCTACTGCGATACTAAATTAAATATTATGTTCTTATACTTGTAAATACAATTAAAAACAAGTTGTTTATGAAACAATTAAAGAAACCTTTTACACTGTACAGAATATGTTTTACACTTTAATCACTTTCGTGAGTTGTAATTCGTGAACAACTGAGACGAGTATTAGTAACTCTAGTAAAGTCAAGATATTATTTAAAAAGTAAATATTACATTCCAAAAGTAACATTACAAATTTTAAATAATGATATCAAATAATTACCATTTTCAACCTAAATAAAAGTGGCATGAAAAAATACTGTTTAAAAAAACATTTTCCGTAAAGAAGTAAACAAAAAATGTAATACTTTATGAAATCAAAATATAAACCATTAATATCAACACTATGGCACATTACTTATGTACACGCGTTTCCTATTTGCGCTTGCTATGGTGATCAATGGTAGAATGAACGTTCTTTTAAGTCAAGCCTGGTAATGTAAAAATGTACAAATACGAAAGATACACTAGGCTAGACATAAGAACAATTTAAACTTTAACATTTTTCCTACTGATGATAATTTTACATTATATCGCATCTTTTCAAAAATTTTCAATGACAGCAACCTAGTTTGTCTATGAAAGCATCATTTTGTTGTTTTTATTTCAATATTCCATAAGTTTGTCAATGAAAGCAACCTTTTGTTGTTTTTATTTCTATCTTCCATAGATTTGTCAATAAAAGCAACATTTTGTTGTTTTATTTCTATCTTCTATAAGTTTGTCAATGAAAGCATCATTTTGTTGTTCATAAGTTTGTCAATGAAACCAACCTTTTGTTGTTTTCATATTTGTCTACTATAGCTCCATTGCACAAAAGTTTCCTCGTCTTTTTGCTTTCGTAATTAAGATTAGGTAAACAGTTAATATTTACATTTGCTTCTATATAAATAAAAACAACCAGTGCAATTCCTTTCTGTTATTGAACATCGATGAATACTGTATAATTTTTTTAAAGAAAGTTGGTTTGATTTTCTATACAACTTCATCAATCATGTTATGCATTTAAAAAAGCAAATACTGTTTTCATATGCAAGCTGAGGCCGCTGTATATATTTCACAATTGTCCTTACACCGACATCGCAATAGCATAACTATTTTGATACATTTTTTTAAAGTCATTTTGATTTTAAGCCATATTCATGCAAGCATACATGAGCATGATTATAATTTGGTTTATACTGTTGTAAGCCATAATAACTACACTATTTAAACACCAAGCAATTTAGCACGAAAAGTATCATTCACAGGAACCTCGATGTACTAACATTTGTTAAAACAAACTTAATACAGCCAACTTAGTTTATACAAAGTATTTGATACATCTTTTTTATAAGTAAGTTTTCTTCCTGTAAAGATACCTTTTGCTAATTTGAGCGAAGGCAAATTGTCACACACGTCTATAAAATATACTATTCCATTTTCTTAACTACGGAATCACTTGGCGTACACTTTTGACTGTTTTGTAAATCGCGAATATGCTGATGAAGTCTTTGATCGCTGGCTTTTTGCTGACGGCATTTTGACAATGGACGACTGTTTTAATTTCAATATTCGAGTCCTACAAATGACGCACTTGAGAGGCAAGCATCGTTGGGAGACGGCAACCTGCAAAGTTCAAAGTTCATAATTTATATTTTTTCAATTTTTTTTTTACTGAAACACAATTTGTATTTTAATATGTATCTACATGTGCTTTATCAATATCAAATTTGTTGACACCGCCTTATCTAGAAAACTGTAAGCTATATTTATTTATTCGCCCTCTTGACTCCCTATATTTCTTTTCTGTGTCCACTTGGCATAATTTTAGAGGTTTAGAATTTGTAAATTGGTTAGAATAAGTTTCATGAACGCTTTCCTTTTATAGGTTCTGTTTTTGTTCGTACCAAGATACAAAAATTAACCCGACTGAAATCAATACGTTCGTTCTCAAGTAAAAAGTATATATTTCTTTAAGGTAACAGTTTGTAACAGGTGTTACCGACAAAAAGATAGAAGCTGCTATTAAAAATTAATAAATGACCTCTAAGTTAACACCTGAATATTGAATAAATAATAATATTTATATCTATTAACTCGTATTAATTTTACTTTAAAAACAACATTTTCAAGATGATATTGTTGACGTTTGACAAAAAATCGTAAGCAGTGCACTTTATTGTAAGTCTTTAAAAAAGTCCATAAAATTACAATAATACTTTATTCTTTGAGCATTTAAAAGCAATCGTAACTGTTAAAGATAATTGAAATTCAATGAAATTTTTTTCTTACCTGTATAGTTTTTATGAAGCATTTTCTACAGATTACTTTATGGCCACACGGAAACGTTTGCATTGTGGCTTTTGCACTCATGCATATAACACACTGTAATCAACAAGAAAATTATCTATTTGTTCACTTGTATTTAAATTAGATAAAATGTACATGTCATAAATATGCTTTGTAAATTTTCTTTTTAGTTGATGAGTACCTGTATGACACTAGTTTAACTATGTATATGTCTTAAATAAGCTTTGTCAATTTTGTCAATAAAATAATTTTAGTATAAATGTATATGTCATAAATAAACTTTGTCAATTTTCTTTTTTAAGTTTTGAAAGTATCTGTATAATAATAGTTTAACAATGGATATCATTGTCATAAAAAAACTGTCAGCCATGTCAATATAATAAAACTAATTATAGTAAAAAATGTATATGTCATAAATAAGCTTTGCAAATTTTCTTTTTAAGTTTGCAATCATCTGTTTATCTGTATAATAAAAGTATAAAATTGTATATGTCATAAATAAGCTTTGTCATAAATAAGCTTTTTAGTTTTGTATCTATAGCTATATAATGATAATATAATTATACAATTCACCACAGTAAATTCATCTCATATCCAAACTAAATAATCTTTTTACATTTTAATAAAATTGAATGTTGAAAAATATACTACATACTTCCTCGTCTTCAATAGTTTTTGCTGACGTCACTGGAGTTTTTCCTGACGTCAATGCTGTTTTCGTTGGCGACGACACAGTTTTATCAGTGTCTTTGTCATCAATTTTCGCGAGCAATTTATCCTGAAAATAAAATGCTTTAAGTTTAAGAAGCATTTCGTTGTTGCATTGGAATATTTCAAACTATATAATCTTCATATTACGTAGAAATTGAAATAAAACATGATTTTATTCAGGGACGCAATATGAAAAATTAAAGCTTTAATATATGTATGTACGACATTGAAATAAATAAGAGCCTGGATATTTCTAAAAAGAAATATATCTTTACATTTTTGTATATTTATCTTAAATTCATATATTTCTTTCAATCTTTTTTAACTCATTTTAATGACATTGAATGTTATTTCTTTTCTGTTTTATCAGTATTACACTACCCATCTTCATGTGTTTTCTGAAACTGTGAAATATTACTTGTACAAACATGAAAAAATTTTGCATGTCTTTTTTTTTTATTTTGTACGATAGAAGACAGTTTTGTTGTCTTTAATACAATTTAATACATTCAAGTCTATTAAATATTTGTAAGGATATCATTATGTAAAAAATATTTCAAAACAGAAGCATGCAATTATGATTTTCAATATTGCTATATTATTGATATTTGAATCGTTACTTATGATTATACTGCACATTTAAAATTCAACTGTTAAGAATTATTTCACAAAACGCAAATGTTAATAATTTATTTCAAGTTAACGTGAACAGTTATTATCTTATCTCGTTATTTTGTTTTTAGAGTTTAAATGCAGTTAGGATTTCCCACAAAATGAGCATAATCGCATTCAAATCTCAATAGATTATTATTGTTGTGGGTTTAAATGTAACCATAGCAACGGCAGAACTACAAATGGTATTTCAATTTAACATTAGATACATCACAGGAAGCAAAGTGCAATTGTTCCCAAAGGATAGCTATAATAGCATTACAGTAATCGTATCTCTTGGCATAAGTCAATTGTTTGCCACTAAGCACTTTAAATGAAGATAAATTGAGTAAAATGAATTATCGCTTACTCGGATTAAGATTCGAATGCGTATTTTTCTATACAAATAAAACGGCAATGTTATGAGAAACTTTTTATATGCAAAACAATAATCTTTGAAAAAATAATATGTTTCAAATTATAAATATTGTTATAGTAAGAAAATATGTATGATGCAATTCTGAATTTGTTTGATTTTTTTGTGCTCATAAAGGTATTAGTATGAACAGATATTGTGCCTGGTATTCAGTGTTTTCGCTTTGGCGCTACAAATTACGTTATATATTATTTGTATGTCTAAACTGTATTAATAGTATTTATTTTGTTACTACTCTTTTTTGTATTTCAATATTATTATTCAATTATTGAATTCAATATCATTTCTTTTTTTATTTGACTAAAACATGATTAAAACGAGAAAGACCAAACATATAAAAAAACGTATAACTATTGACAGTCATTATATATATACACACAATGTATTCAAATGTATTCTATCATAAAGCACTCGAATACAATTATTTTGTTACTTTTATTTATTCTTTTATAATAATAACATAATCTTCTCAAGTTAACTCAGCTACGTTTAATATTAAATTTCATATTTCAATGCATTTTCATAGACGCTGAATTATCTTAAAAAGGTTAAAGTAATACAAGTGGTTTTATCTGAATATGACTTCTATGTATTCATATTTTCATTATTGATTTTAAGATTGAAATTGTTTTGATTTTCATTACATAACGCTGTACATATACATATTGTTAATAGACCCATAATTATAATGTAACGAAAAATTAAACATACAGAAACATATGAATACTTCATTGATTTCTATAAAAAGCAACGATTTGCTTTTGAACACTTAATGTACATATATAAAGACAAATATTGATTGAAACAATATTGGTTTGTTTGATATTCAATATTTGAATAAATGCCAGCACATTATATAATAAACGCTTCTGTTAATTGCGCCGATTCGGACTATTCTGTACAATTTTGTTGATATTTTACCGTTTTTATCGCCTTCCGAAAATATCTCGGGACATAAGTGTTAACCTTATGAGAATATTAGACTTCTTTTTACCTATTATATGTCTGCAAAACCCTATACCTGTCATAATAGTCTGCTTTGATTAATAAATATGTCTTATCAAAGACCATTTAGCTGAGAAATGACAAAACTGCATGCACACATACACTTGGCCAGTAACAGACACACATTTGACAGATATAAAAAGCTTATTACAACGTCCAAAAGGTTACAAATTGACAATACGTTTTTCCGCGAAACTTCGAAGCTCTATATAAGTTTACATTTAATTACTGTCTTTAGAAATATATAATATCTATATAATACATTATTTATACGAATATCATATATGAAAAACTCATTTTCAAAGTATACATGATTTAAGATACATATACCTACCACTGTCATTAATGTCAAGACCATTTATATTTTTTTACATACAAAAATGTACTTCAATTCTGCAATATTATTTCTATACTAAATAGAATAAAAATATAAAGAAGAACATCATTTTACGTATTTACTAATGTTATAATTTGCTTAATTGGTATATTATTATCATTATTATTATTATTATTATTATTATTTAGGTAACCATCGTTTTGCAAATGAGAACAAGCTTTAAATACAATAATTTGAAGGAAAAAAAAACAGTCGAAGTGTACGATTATAATTTACAATACATTATGTTTTAAAGGTTTGTACATAATTATTACTTAAGGTAATGGCAAATCCTTCTGTTCGGTAACGTTTATAACATAATTAAGGTCTTGGCGTCAAGAAATACTACTAGTTGATATAAAGAGTTTGTTTAGGTTCATGTGGGTCCCGAATCAATCTATAACGGACAGGAGATCACCGTTTCAGAAAACGGGGAAAATTGCAAATATCCTCTCGGAGTAAATATTAGATTACACCCCCGGATTAGTTTTGTAAATGTTTACATAATCAATTTAGTCTTTTATGCCTCAATAGTCATGGCACACTATTGAAATTGGTTCCTTTCTGTATTATTTTATGTTTGTGTTCACGTCAGTGTAAGAAACGAACGTTTGTTTTAACAATTAATCAAGTCAAAGAATGTGCTCTGATGGTCGTATAAGAAAATGTTCAATTGCTTTTTTTTCTACTAAATAAATTGTTTGTACCAACCAAGGTCAATTACTTTTATAATCCAATCATTCTAAATTTAGTTATTCCCATACGCCAGTTGAGTTCCTCTTACATAAACAAATTTAATTAAAAAGGCAACAAACTAGAACAGTTGATTTTGTTACACGTTGTTTGTAAGTAGAAGGAAAAATGGAATAAAACATATAATAGGTATCCTGTTTAAAATTAATGTCATAATTGATACATTTTATGTAATTACAAAAATAAAATATATTCTTAAAAAAAACAAGACTTTTTTCCCTTTCTGACGTATTTTTTGTGCCATCTGTATGTTGTTTTCTGTTGACAAAACAACTCATAAACAGCTGTAGAAAAGTATTTTTAAATCTCATGAACCTTATTATTTTTTATGCATCAAACTTTTGTTTTCTTAACGAAGCGTGTTTATAAGTGTTATACTAAAATACAAGTATATGCTTTGTGTCAAAAATACTCAAAATTACGAAAACATCACTTCTTAAAATCAAAAATAGCACGTTATTTTCTGTATTTTATAGACTTTTTTTCAGTTTACGTTTGATTTTGGAGCCCGCATCATTTTTCATTTTTGTGAAGGTGGACATTGTTTTTATTTTCGTAACAATAGTAAGCTTTAAAAAACTCTTTTTACATTTTCATAAAAATGAATCCCAAAATAAAAATATAGTCTTATCAGATTGTATATTAATCAGGGAATTTAATTTTTTGAGCACTAACTGTTTAATTGCGACAACATAATACTCGAAATTCTTCTTTCGACATGTCTGCATCAAATGGATAACAGCGGACAGTACAATTTCCTCCATTTTACCCGAGCAATATTAATTTGTTGAATTACATGGAATAATGGAAATCTTGTCTCCATAGTTTAAGATTAAAAATATATTTTCATATATGGAGTTTTATACTCGTAGTTTCAATAGGCTTTTTTCCTTAATCATATTTGAGCGTTTCGATATATTTAAGTACAAAATTCAGTTTGGATTGCATAATTAACTGAAACATTTTCCCGTTTATAAAGGATAAATTTTATAGCCTATTGTCTGAAGCTGTATCTAAATATGTTCTTTAGACATGCAACTTCACATGCGATAAAATTAAGCAAATGTAATTTATGTAACATACGAGTTTTATATAGACATTTAGTTGACAATATTTTTGTGATAAAGTGCTTTATAAATGCATTTCATTATGCAAGAGAAATAATGCCGTCTTAACATATTTTACACTGTTACAATGCATGTTTTACATTGTTTACCATGTGTTATATATCTAATTAACAAATTTATAATTAACATAATCTGTTAATTGTTGTAGATGTTCATGTATAATTTCGAACAAGCAATTTTTTAGGATGACTAAATACGAATTAATATTTTTAACGAAATTATATTGTACATACTGTGGACATTACAAATACGCGTTTTATATCACATCAGTTTTGAATGTTTAAAGATGTTTAAAGACCGTTTTCCAGGCGCCTTACTTAATGTCAGTAAATGAACTAATCGAAACAAAAACTTTTTTTTTTTTTCTCCCGTTCGTTTTTTTTTTTCATGTGTTGTGTTCCTATATTGCTTGTGCTACACGTACATATATAGGAATTTATTTATGTTTTCTCTCGTAGACACAGCTATTATTCGGGCATTTACTTATATAGATATACTTAGACACACAGCAGTAATTTGTTTCCTCAGACAGACAGTTATTAAGATCTACATACGTAGGAAACATTTTACGTCATGTTGTTTATGTTTAGAGTACGGCAGTTCAATTTTGGTAACAATTGCTATATTTCGTTACATGCTTTGCCACAAGAAACATTTTTTTTAGTTTAAACATATTCATTTAAGTTCGATTGCGAAACATGGTATTGCAACTTATATAAATCACTTTCGAGTCCGCTTCCTGGAACCAAACAGTACTTGTGTCACGTGAAGATACATGGCCGTGACACGATAAGGACTCGAACTCATGATGTATATTTGAAAGAAGACCTTACGATAGCAACGTCCTTTCAATAAATTTAACTTTCACTGCATTTAATTATCAGTTTTAATACATCGAATATCTAGAAACAAACCCTCGAATAGCGCAACTTATTTAATTCGTACAGTCGTTTATTTGAAAATACAAATTTATTCAGAATACTTGAAGAATGCAGTTTATATTCGTTTGCGGACGCTTCAAGTTTTATCAATTTTTTATCAAAAATATTGCCTGATTAACAAATCGAATTGTGTATTCTTACGAAGTTATTTAATAATTGTTATTTAATCATGTAAAAATACAATCGAATATCAGTTCTTAAATATATCTATATGTACAAAGACGTCTTTAATTTCTTTACCTTAACATTTTATGACATATAAACTTTAAAAAAAGAAACAAATCAACTGGCTTGAATTTTTATATCACTTAATCTGAAAAAGACACTTTTTTATTGTCTTAGTGTGTTTGTTTTAATTTACACACTATCACATTCTCTTAAACATTCTTTTTATATAGAACAGGTTTTCTTCTGATAATAAAATTAATTGAAATAGTCGATACAAAGCTTAGAACTTTCTCATACTTTGTAACACATTACTACAAGAAAATTGAAAGACACATTATATCCCTGAAGGTTTGAATTATTAAAAGAACCGCTTTCGTATCCGATAAACGTACACTGAAGAGATTCCTGAGTGTAGGGATAATTACAATTATTGTCTTGCCAATGGCTGTTTGTCTACGAACATTACACGTTTGGAGTGCGTAGTAATTAAGGTTTAAGAGTTCTCAGACCTTGACAATGGTTTATTATTTATTCCGGTTGACATAATTGCTTTAATCAAGTCCGGAACTGTGTTATCAGGGTAAATAAATTCCCTTGTATATATACTCCGTAAATTTATATACAACTGTTGTTGAAATTCAATTAATTATTGCTTTCGCGTTGTGTAATAAACTAAAGTTTATTATTTGTCTTAACATATTTAACTTTAATATATAATACAGGATTTAAGAAGACTGGAGGCGTTGAAGTTTGAAAAGATGACCTTTTCTTTTTGTGCAAACATTGTACATATATTTATAATTGACTTCCACAAACCAGCTGATAAAATTAATCGTATGATCCAAAATAGTTCTCCTTCTCTTAGTATATTTTGAAACCGACAAGCGCCGACATGCAATCGATTGAACTAAATAAGGAGAGGAGCTAGTCATCTTTCTAGGACAAAACCGTTTTATAGGATACACAAAGCATTAACTTAGTAACATGATAGAAGTTAATACAGAAAGTAACTCTAGTTCCCTTGAGAATATGTATTGTTTACAAAAAAAACACATGCGGCTTTAGAAATAAATATGGAAGTTAATCTTTACTAAGATACATACCTAACTGAAAAAGACTTTTCTATCTTTCAATCTGGACAGAGTTATTCGCCATTTCTACAGAAATTTTAAAAATAAGGACTGGTTAAATAGCGAACAGTGAAAACCATGAGCAAACCGTACAAATGTGCAGTATGATCTTGGTATGCGCTGGTCGCGTGGGTAGATTTAGTTGCCATTTGCGATCGTTTGATTAATATGCCATTTGTGTATAATTTTTGTGATGCTCGTATTTTAAAATTTCCATACCGAAAAAAATAGGGATCGTTTAAGAAAACTAAACTATTCTTGGTAAAGAAAGACTTGTTATAATGAAAACATCCAAACGTAACATATATTAAAATAGCTATTGTAACTTAATCATCAGACATAATAAAGTTTTTTTTTAACGGTTTAAATTCAAATTCTTGAACCTTCAGAAGCAATTTCGCAAGTTTTAAAAGGAAAATATATGTTTAAAATTTGATATATGAGTATTGAAAGTTATGGGGAAAAATCATTTGGTTTCGTATAAATATTTGCAAACTGATATCGAGATTATGTACATCTTTATTTATAACAAAATATGAGCATGCGACATTTTCAGTTTTTCCTTGCTGGGCGGTCTTTAACATACCAATTTGTAGTTTATTACAAGAGACGCAGGAGGAGATTTTGAAGATAGTGTTTTATTCTAACATAAATCTATTGATTTCGGTACAATAATGAATAACACTTATCTTAACAAAACTGCAGATAACATATTCGTGTCTATTAATAGCAATCGGAAGTAAATTACTTATCCTGTTTAAATATTGATTGCGCTAGAATATGTTGTATGAATTCAAAACTTATTAAATTCAAAGGTTTCTATTTTATACTGAGAAAACACGTTTTTTTTTCCTTGACATATGGAAAAGACAGTTGAATAACAAACAATCTGTTTATTGGGCGCCGTGTATTATAACTAAAATATTCTAGTCAGAACCAGAAAATCATTTAAAGCGTCTGAATTCCAAGACATTTTAGCTGCTTGTCGCATTTCTTGCAAAAGCGTCATTCTACCAAAAACACATTTAAACGCATTCTTATGTACCAGTGCGTCAATAATAAAAATAAAAGAGAAAGATAATCTGAGATATACTCGGATATACTCGGCTATATTCATAGATATAGGATAAACAAATTATATTGTCTGAAATAATTCGAAGCCTTTTTTTCTGGCAGCGTTTTAGCAGACAATGGTTATGTTACGAATGCTTCTATTCAATGATTGTCCTTCAGAATAGATATAAAGGTTAAGAGTCTGTTGTTAGAATCAATGATACATTAAATACTTCAGACCTTTATATCAGATATTATCAATATCATGTTCTCTTTGTTTTTATGCCTTAAGCTAAATATTATTCATACTTAACCGCGGAATTGATTAAACCTTTTGATACAACATTGTTTAGATTATCAAGTGGTTTTTTTCATGAAACAATTTATTTACAATTTTATTTTCCTATGGAAAGCTGCATATAAATAAAAATATTTTTCGTATTCGTTACTTTATAAAGCATTAAAAATGACTTTAATAATATGATTAAAAGATACTCCATTTCAGTACGTGTTTTCTTATATTTGCGTAATGTTTTTACTATTGCTTCAATATTCAGATCACAAAAAACAGGCTGAAAATATAAAATTATAACATATTGAGAGATTGTATATATTGATTACCAAGAAATAAAATCTACTTTTGCAAAAAGATAGAGAGAAATGATCGATTTTTTTATTGCAGTTTTTTATTATATGTACGAAATAGAAAACTCGAATATAAACACATGTAATAAAGACGTTTTATTGCTGACAAGGAATCAAATTATGCCAAACTCTAGTTATCTAAAATAGGACATGAGTCATAAAAACGCGGCCTAGGTATAAATACATCTTCATCTTAGCAATGTTTATAAAATAAATGTGTTTTTATGGTTCTTTGTGGACAGAAGAATCATACACTAACATTTCAGAAGAAAAAATAGCAAGTTTGTGTTCTGACATTTTTAACTTAACAATAAAACGATATTCCAATATCTAAAACGTATTATGTTAACAGGCAATAACAAAGAAAACAATGACTCAAGTGTGTAAAAGTGTATTCCTTTATACCCGTTTTTTTCTAATTCTTCTTCATGTTTTATTTCCAATTATAACATTTGTTAACTATGTAAAAGTTAACGACTTTTTCACCTTAAATGTATCCGTTTATTACCCATCCCATTCAATATAGTTCTTACAAAGAAAATTATAAAGTGTCAAGTGTTGTTACGAAATAAATACGGGTTTCTAGATCTTAGTTCTTTATCATGGCAGAATAACTAAATAACTAAATCATTGTTCTTTTAAGTAGTTTATTTTGGTCTTTTGGCTTAGCTTCTGTTTTAAGAGTGTAAAAATATTTATGATTGTTTTATTTTGGCTTTTATTTAAAACATTATTAATTATGTTATATTGTAGGTAAGAAAAACTGTGTTTTAATTGAAAATATTTTGTTAACTAAACAGTTATTTTGAAAATTATTCGATAATTTATGCCTTATGTAGAATTATTTGAATTTTTTCTCTATTCGTTTTTCACTGTTATGTATGTGAATATCACGGAATATGTTTTAATCTTTAATATTCACATATCTCCTGTTATGACAAAAACTTGTTTCTTTTTTAAATGAAGTACATTCTCAATGAACAAATTTTAAAATGAATTTATCAAACACGTTAAATATTTATACGTTAAAAATTTTAAAAAGTATGTCACTAACAACTTTACATTTGCTTTTTAAATATCCTTAAACACCAGAAAAACTTACAATCTTATGATTAAGATGATCTAATTCCTTTTCAGTAACTTTTTTCCTATGGACCTCCTGCTGCTGTCTTTTAAATTCACTGTATTTATAAAACAAGTACATCCCTGGCACTGCTATGGCACTAAGCGGTTTGGCTAAAGGCGATCCTGGATCCGAACTAGTCGGCATCTTTTCATCCTTATGTCTCTTTAGAAAATGAAACATTGTGTCTTGACTTGTTATACTTATTCCGTATCTTAAGGTGATCAATCGGTCATGACGTCAGAAATTTATTCACGTGTGAAGCACGCGCCAATTTGCACCTGACAATTCATAAATCTGTCCGCAAATGCATATTATTTACTGAATAATTAAGTCCTCCTAATTTACACTTCTGTCTGGTAAATTGTTCCATGCGTGTGAAAAGTGGCAATGCCATATATAAAACCCGTCCAGTTCAAATGTGAACCAATATTCGTCTCAGACAGTATCAAGAAATGCAACCGAGAAGCGTATTGGTGAAAACTCCGATAAAGTGGAAAAGACGCCGAGGGGATCAATACCCCGAAGACTTGTATAAGAAGAGGAAACTTCAGCAATGTTCCTGCAGAATACAAAAAAGATCAGATTATATAACTCTTCTCAAAACGCCCCGATCGGCTGCTGAGCGATCACTGTAAGGTATACGTGCTCTTACAGTACACGGTCTGCAACTTTTGTTAGAAACGATTATTGGAAAATGTTTCTTTTGTAATCTAGTATTCAAAGCCAGCAATATAAAGTCATTATACGACGTGACAATGCTACTTAAGTTATTATTCTAAGATATGACAATAATGACGGCACACTTTGCTGCTAATAATAGACTATTTATTCTACTATAAGATACTTAAATATTAAACACACGAGTTCGCTATAGGATCGAACATTTTCACATTATAAAGTTCAAACATAAATTGCCAAAGGTCATTTAGTAAGTTCAGTAAATGAATTTGAATCTAGATGCACTGCATATTGATCTTATTTATTTATTTTGTCTCATTTACCATAATACAATATGATTATTCATTGACGTTTTTAAATTAATTCAAAAACTATCTTTACTGCTTATGTCACACTCAAAGTAAAGCGTTTTAAATGCATTTACTGGTGGTTTCAAACAGGCCTTATTTATCCTCCTTATGTTTAATGATGCTACATTTAAATATGGGTCAGCAACAAGACCATGCATTTTCAATCTCTTTATGTTGGGTTACTTGTCTAAACTTCAACATTTAATTATTAGTTTTTTTCTGTGAGTCTAAATGAGTAAAGTAAAACAGTGTATTCCATGGCAAATATCCATGGATTTCCTCGTTAAAATTAGAAACAAAGTACCATGACAAGTGCATTCCTTTGCAAATGAGATATCCTTATTGCGCCGACCAGTTCACACACACGTCAAACTTCACTACTCAGAACTAATGTGTTATCATTATAAAAACAACGGGTGTTCTTTCACATATAGAACAGGTGATACTTACTAAAGATTTTCCCAAATAAATCAATGTAGAATTATTTGCTTACATTCTCCTTGAGTATCAACATTATTGACCAAGTGTTTCTTTCCTCTTTTTGTTCCATTGTATGTTCTTGTCAATACGATCACCGTTATCAATTGCACAAAAGTTGGAATGTTTGATGTTTGGGATAATCAGAGGCTAATCGTTACATCATAGAAATATGAACTTCCATACTGGCTAATTAGAATAATTAATATGTTAAGCTTTCATTGATACAGCCTCTTCACTAATATCTTTGTATATTTAACGTCCTTTTGAATGTCTTTGTATGCATTTTTTAAACCCGCTTCATTCGTACTTAATTTAATTATGATAGCGCACTTAAAGATTAGATAGATAATAAAAGAATTTTGTTCAGCGCTTGTAATGCTGTAAAAAATACATAGAAAAGCATTATAACCCTTTTATGCCTATTAAAATGACGATTACAAAGTAAGGGGAAAATAAAACATTTGCACACTCCCAAAGACATTTTCATCCTTACCACATTTATTTATATCATTTCATGCCATTGATTTCTATTGACAGCAAGTGGCCAGACCTCGTTCTGCAGTTGATATTGTTTATCAATAACATATTATACAAAGACATGATCAACCAATTTGAAAAATCACAGCTAATTCTACCAACAATAATCGATAGCATATTTCTATTGTCAGACGTGGCAAAAGTCAACGCGTGACAAGATAAGGCTATAACTCCGGAAACAGATTAAATCATTTCCGACAGGCTGTTGAAATCTGTACATTGTATATAGAGCGTGGAAAATAACGGGCAATCTTTTTTCTTTTGAAAATAAATAGTTAAATACTAGGCACAGAATTGTTTTCTTTAGGACTCATTTACTGCCTTAAGTGTAAACTTTGTTTAATGATTCGATTTCAGGAAACAGTTTTCATTTTGGGTTCAATAAATATTTCGATGTTAAAAATGGCTAGTGGAATTCATATGACTGCTTAAACAACAAATCAATACATTCATAGATATTTTCAGATTAATTATACCAATAAGTACGTAAAATTTAAATTGGATGCTGCACCAGTATATAGCTTTACCGTGTACCTTTCTCATCCTTGCCGATTTTCTCTCTTAAGGGGGGCAGGGGACATATTCGAATGATGGCCCCGGTCAAATTTTTTAATAACTCAGACATGGTGTTTTGAAGGTACTGATAACTTCTGATATTTCCCTGTCATTGTAATTCTTTCTTGTTTGTGTGTTGGAAATGAGATATATTTTTGTGTTTTTACCCGAAACTAAGCATTTTGGTAGCTTTGTATGTATTTCTGACTCTCCGAATGGAGGTGAAAAAGTTAAAAATCAAGCTTTGACAGCTGGCGCCAAACAAGTAAGAAATTTCAGATAAATTTTGTGAAAAATCTAAACGTATGACAGACACTTTATTTGTCATTTCTGAAAATGCCATAGCTTGCACTGCGTGTTACAGATATTTTTAAAGGAATCGGGCGGATTCTCGAGTATGCTACACCTTCATGAAGATTGCCCATATTGGTATATTTTAGGTGTGATTTTGGCTGGGTGGGGGTAAATATAAATTGCTGTCAGTCATTTTTTGAAGGAGCAATGCATGCAAACTATTATTTTCTTCAATGTATGTCATATATCATTGAATAATGCTGTGCAACTGGTTATCTGCCTGTGAAACAGATTTTGAAATATTTGGAATTGTGTTTCTGGTCACACTGAAATACAAAATTTTTCATTTTTAGGTCCCCTGCCCCCTTACAGTTACCTATCGTAGCAAATAATCGTGTTTATAAAATATACAAATAATGTAGTAGTACCATAACACGTCGTCGTTCAACACAAATAATAATTGTAGTTGTTTTACGCCATGTCGAATTTTCTCTTTTTTTCCCGCGAAAAAAAAAACGAAACATAAGATAGAGTCCACCTTCGTCGGTACGGTATCTATGTTTTCACAGTTTCGAGGCAAAAGGCGAAAGCACTACATGGATTTAATCAGCCACAATAAATAATACTCCAACGTTATACATAGCACTTCTATCATGCTCATTACACAATTTTACTATTTAACTCGTGATTATTTATTTGGATGTCTAGTAACATATAAATTCTGAGATTTCTATTGTTTAAGAACTTTGATTTATGTTTTTTCTTATTTATATTTGTTTTACAAATTTAATGAGTTAATTGTCATTTATTTCAATTTAAAACTTAAATTTATTTTTATGAAGTTTTTGAACTGACAGGTTTTTACCTATTATGTAAAAAACCTAACTTTATCGGTATTGGAACATATAGACAGAAAATCTACCGGATCATATCAAACGGCACATTTTGCATGGTTATCTTTACCTGGGAAAATATGAGACAGAATTACCTTGATTGGTCCGGTTAAATATTCTCGAGTGGCCTCGTTTACCAGATTGCCCTTTTTATAAGTCCTTCTTGTTAAACAAAAAACAAATTATTGAAATAATGATCTCATCCAGAGACAAATTAGACAAATTATATATATACTATGTATCATATTTCCTTTGGATAATACTAATTCGCTTTATGAAACATAGTACATGACGTGTTATACTTTAAGCCAAACTGTAATCTGATGTTGTTATTTTATCTTAAAATATATATCATTACACGCACTTTTTAAAATGTTATGCCTTTATAAAAGAAAGTCTTGTTGTTTTATTTTTTTTCTGAAAATAAAAACAAAAAACAACAACAAAGGAATCTAAACATTAAGGGCGGCTCTAAATATTCTGATCTTTGAGCATTTGCAAATTTTAACTTTTACGTGTGCACATATTTACTACAACGAGCAATCAGATTAACTACCAAGCGCGCATATGTGTACGTATTTACATTAAGGATTAAGAATAGGGTAAAGGATGCTTACAGTTAAAACGAGCTCACGTGATGTATAAAGTGTTTTTTCCAATGTTTCCATGTTCCATCGCAGTTTGTCAATATACTTTCATATGAAATAGGAGTATTTTAAAAGACAATTATTACAATAACCGAATGATTGACAATCCTTTTTTAATAGTTGAGTTACAAATAATACTGCATGTTCGAGAACAACAGCGTGCAGAACTTCGACACTATGCTATATTTAATTTAACCAAAATCCTATTTCATTGCGATTAATGAGCAATTATATGCGCATTTAACATAAAACTGTTTGAATGAATGATTGTCACGTGCCTGTGGAAGTAGTTTTAGCTTTAATTATCAGTAACTCAATGCATACTGTTTCGAGATATCAAAAAGCATAATTATCACATTTTGTAGTTTATAACTAGTACATGATATGTTTCCTTAAGGGTGACGAAACAAATTAAAATAACTTATTTATATAATGCGCAATAGAAAAGTAAAAACTGCAAAAGATAAATGATTATGAATATTTAAAGGTACTAGGTTATAAATGAACAAATACATCATTCTGAACTTATTTGTATAAACACTATACATTGAGGCAAGGACTCAAATTATCATCAAATGTTCAAACCATGCAAAAATCGATTGCGGTAATCGATTGCCAATATCCTATCAATCTATCAGTCATCTCAAATGATCAATTTATTTGAAAGACTACAGTAAGGTAATTGTATAAGCGAAAATCGATAATGATTTTGTATAAAACAGATATTTTTAGACATTGGAAAATTCACTAAGTGACAACGTCAGGATATAATTCCGGAAGCAGATTTAATCATTTCCGGCATTTCCGGAAGCAGATTTAATCATTTCCGGCGTATCCTGGAAATCATCTTTGATCTAAAATGGGCTTTAATTAGCAATGATATGTTAGAACTATACATATTTTTCTGGAATGATCATCGTACCAATAATTATGTTGCCCTAGTAACCTTTATATCTTAGTTTGTTTGTTTGATTAGGTTTTACCTTGCACTGACACAGTATAGGTCAGTTTGTCAAAACTGCTTTGATATACATTATTGTATCAAACAATTGATAAAAATAATCCCTAAAGAACCTCGAAATGTACGATAGTTTTTTTTAAAGGCACAGTTTAGGTTATATGGCGACTTTCTAGCTTTACTGGTGGAGTAAAACCTCAGGTGCCCTTCCGTGCATTATCGCAGTCACGAACGGTCTCG